AAACCCTAACTAACCCTAACCCTAACTAACCCTAACTAACCCTAACTAACCCTAACTAACCCTAACTAACCCTAACTAACCTAACTAAACTAACCTAACTAACTAACCCTAACTAACCCTAACTAACTAACTAACTAACCTAATCAGCCCTTGAAGACAGAGATATCGACGAGTGAATGAAACCTGTGAAACCGCACTCGAACTCAGTTGCATGGCCTTTAATATCCTCAAATGTCCGTACAAATGACAAGACTGGAGTGAGCACGCGCTTGGGATCCACAGAAAATCCTGCCTTAATACCAATGAGTCAGATAAAATTTGTCGTAGTCATAACAGTAACTCACGTCAGTCCGCACAACAATGTGACCTAAGGCCAATGTCTGAGCGTTGTTGTCAGGAGTTATCTTCACCTCAAAAAACTTCTTTGGAATGAAATATTCCATGGACGACAGTTGAAGGAGCTCGTCAACAAAGAAAATGTTGATTCCCACACGGACTGTAGGTGGGGAAAGGTCATCAGGGAGGTTGTGCATCATCTTGTAGCCATGATGAACTTGCGACATCCTTCCATCTCCTTCTTCTGGGTAATCCCGCATGGTGAACCGTGTAAGAGGATTGCCATAATCCTGGAGATAATGTCAGTGATGAACTGTATGAGTATTTGTAAAAGTCAGACCTTTGCGATTGCTTTTGCAACAGAATTGAGGTAAAACACGGTGCCCGACTTTGCGCAAACCTTTTCAGTTGGATTTCCCACTAAGTCACGGATATGGTCTTGAGTTTTCTTGATACTGTACAGTGTCGGAACGTCTTTAGCACCGAGTGCAGTAGCCCAGTCCAGAACGGCCCTCTTTTGAGCCTCCGAAAACCGAGTGCAAGGCGAGCTGAATAGGAGTTGTGTGATACATTCCTACTTGACAGGTGAGTACCTGAATGCGAGCGCATGACTCCAAAATTATACCGATATTGACGTCCATGGATAAGTTGAGGAACCTGGGTTGATTTCATTTGTGCGGGAGCAGTCGTCATCTACTTGGACTGGTATTAATGCAAGAAAGAGAAATATATGCAACATAACTTACCAAGAATATCGAGAATTGTGTCATCTACCTCAATAGCGAGATCATTGTCAAGTTCTACTCCAATCTCCTCCATGAGAGGTTCCAAGGGACACAAGAATAACGATTCTCCTCGTCGGAGTGCTGCCAGTATTTCTTCATAGTAGTCACTGCCGATTGTGTGTTTGGTAACTGTGCTATCCCACGGATCGCCAATAGGGACTTCAAGATGATCATCATCAGTGGCTCCTGTGATGTTCTCTAGTGAAAAAGCTGAGTTTTCAGGGGGAGCAGTGCTATCTGAGTCTAGCAGGGAAAATAGTGTTGGCAGGTCAAGCATGTCCACGTCAGTTTCCAGGGCAGAGGGCTTAGACACATGAGGACTTCCTGCTTCCACACGCTCCAAAGCACAGGTAACTGGCCGCTGATGTTTTTTGCTTCGGTCATGACCACTAACATGGCATATTCTCATAGTGAGAAGGCTCTCGTTCCGCTTTGTACACACTTTGCAGGCAACTTCATTTCTGCCTTTGATTTGCATGTAAACTGCAAGATAAAACAATTAAATATCGAAGGAAGGTAGTGGTAATCTGTTACCTTCGGGATCTAGTCGAGATATTGACGAACCTGAAGACCTAGGCATTGCTTCAGCTCTGAGTAGGAGAGTAAAGAAAAAGTCAACCAGTGCCAGGCATGTGTGGGTGCCGAACCAATGTGTCAGCCCTGCACTCATAATGACGACTCCACGCATTAACCATGCTGCAGTCTTCTATGCTGCATTCCTGTTGGCTGATTTCGTATTTTCAGGGCGGAATTCATAATCACAATTACTATCAGCAGATTAAATTAATCGCCATGGTCGACTGATATATAATAGTCTCCTGCCAGTGTGTGGGGGCAAAATGGCCCGGGACCAGCTCATAACACCAGCATAAATGGTTTCACTGAGGGAGAAACAGCTCACAAGTTGAATGACATAACTGCTCGACCACACACAGATTTGCAGAAAGTCCGGCTATGGGTGAATTCCATGGGAGCTTCCCAGACCAACTGTTACAATCACTTTGCTCCCTACTTAACGATTCACTATTATGCATCACCTTTTCTTCGCTCTTGAATTCCCCTTTTTGATCTGACTTCCATATTCGACCTGTGTACTATTATCCCACCTTAGCCTTGGTCCGTGCGCATATAGTGTCCTATTTAAGCACGTGTACTTTACCTAGAAACGTCACTTCAATCTTACTAGGTTTTATCCAGAACTTCCTTCACTTAAGACCACCAATCTTAAGTCGTCAGAACTGATCTCTTAGTTAAAGCACTCCTTTAACTAAGTCTACGAATCTCTTCTTATTTGAAGGGCTTTACGAATCTCAGCAACACGAACGCTCTGTCGAGCCCTTGCTGTTAGAACTATCCTAGTTTGTAACACCAACAATACAAGGGAGAGATTGTGTCATGGGAAGACAAGGATGAACATTGGTGCAGAGAGCTATGACACATAAAAACATTGTAACATGAAATCTCCAAAAAATTGATGAAAGTGCCTGCAGCTGCCAGTAGTAGTTGATCAGTGAATTGAGAAGTCCTTGGGTTCATGAACAAATTGTGAAATTGCATAATTGCAGCCAGTGAGGGACGAACCATTTCTTGTCTATTCATTTTTGACCTCCTTTTTGAATGAAGCGACAAAATTCTACATACAACATTCGAGATTTGCGTAGCTATCAACTAGAATACCATATGTTGTACATCATAGCTCATAGTCGTACCTATGAGCAAACTGTGCCAATCATAACAAATTTAACCATCGCTAAAAGACCTGCACACTCCTCAGTAACATTATGGCGTGAAATGCTTTGTATGAATGCTTCTTGACAAATGGCTCTGGCTTCAGGTGGGCCACGAGGTCACCCGTTTCTCGAATTGCAGATAATTTTTGGATGGCGAGATCCATCCCTTTCGCATCAGCCATGAATTGAACAGTAGCACTGTCGAGCTGGGTGTCCGTTCTGTTCAAAAGTCGCTGCGCTGTTTGCAAGCATTCTGCAAATACATGGGTAGTTCCAAGTGCATGTCGCCACAAAATAGATTGTGTAGCACGGTTGGTGCCTGGAGGCACAGTCAATTGTGCAAGTTTGGCAAGTTTGGCTTGAGTAAGGTCGAGGAGATGCCGGAGTAGGATGCAATCAATTATTTTAGTGTCCTGATTGAATGTTAATTTGTTGTTGTTGTTATGATCGAGTGATTGAAGACGTACCATGCCACAAACCCAACCAACAGTTGCAATGGTCATATCCTCAACCTCTTCGATACGATCAGTCATTGACGACCTCTCCACCTCCCATGCCTTCTTCTCTACCTCCCACTGCCTCTTCCCCGCGTCATGCATCACCTCCACATCCTTGCACTTTGCTTCTACGTCCTTCAACTTCACCTCTGCCTCCTCGTGTATCACCTTCATCTGCACCTCACACTGTTTCTTTGAGCTTTCGATCGAACTCTCCAACTGTTTGATCCATGTCCCTTCCACAGTGAGGGAATTCTCCAGTGTTCTGATATGGATACCACCCTCCTGTCGTCCATCCTCCAACATTTTGATCTGTTGGTCGCTGTAGATCCAAACTCGCTCATTGTGGGCATGAGCTTCCCGAAGGTGGCTTAAATGCTCCTGGTTGTCCTTCAAGTTTTGCTGTATCATCTTCTGCTGACGGATGTCATCTGCACGGTCGTGGTTCCATACCCTCATTTCTTCAGATACTTGTTGCTGGTTTTGAACGATAGCATCCATTGATGCCTTCAATGTGGTGAGTTCATTGTCTCGCACTGATTGTGCTCGCCTATCCTCCTCTCATGCTCGCCTCACTTCTGTCAAATTCTGGTCGAGTGTACATATTAGAAATAGGAGCTCCTGAGTCCTGTCATAGTCAGGACTGCTCATGCTATTGGGCATCAATGCCACATGCTGCGAGGGAGCTTTGGAACTGTCAAGCTGTTGTGAAGGAACGATTGCATGTATGCGGTCTATCGGTCCACATAGATCGCCAAGGATTGTAGCATTGTTTTCTAGTAAGGTGGAGCCATGTGTGTCTGGAAATAATGTAAATGAACAACATCAATAGAATAACAGAGCTTACTTGAAGATAAGATAATTGACGTAAGATCAGAGTGGACTTGGTCTTCATACCATTCACGCTGAAATTTCTGCTTGATACGTTGCTGGATGTTCATGCACAGGGCCCCCAGGGAAATTGTATTGGGAACTTTATAAAAATAAGAAGAATACCTCTCGACATAGAATGAGTTTACAGAAATTTGAGAGACCATAATTGAATCGATTGGTGAAGTTGCGGAGGGCCAGAGGGCAATTGAATACTTGGTCAATGAACGTGAGCAGTGAGCATTTGGCAGTGACTCTCAAGTGACTCTTAATAATACTTTGCACAAGTAATACCACGACCAACGTCAACTATTGTATTTTGGCACAATCACCGCCTTGAATAGGTTCATACCCATGCATGTGTATGTTACATCCAATCTATTACTGGAAAAGACACATTACTTCCAGTACATAGGTAAGCTTCTGGTCTTCATATGGACACAACATCCAAAGAAATATTTGACTTTTATCAAGGCCATGTTCGTGTCACGCACACCTGCGCTATTGTTCTTGTACATCTACTTGATGCCATTCCTAGACGCCTTCATCGTGAATATCTTCACCGTCGCTCTCTTCCGCCGGTGTCATTGACATGGGTACGTTGCTGCATGTACGTCCTTTCGAGCTCCTCAAATACCTCACACTCAAGGACTTTGACTGTGCTCATTTTGACATCTAGCTGTCTCCTTGTTAGCTTATCGAAACATCTCTTTGCTCTCGCGATTAGTCGCATTGAGCATTGTCATGTCATGTGACTCGCAGCACGCTACTCAAGCTTCATAGCTTCCATTCAGCGTGTAGATCTTTTTTGTTTTCTGGAGCCTTCAGCACCTGTATTTTGGCTCTCGGCTAAAGATGAACATCAACTGAAGCCCCTCCCCTTCTGGCGAAATTTGTATCACGCTGCTTGAGATAATAATTTTAGTTTTATTCGCTAACATCATTTTGACAAAAGGCCAAAGCTCATCATAGCAGTCGCCATATTGCAGTGGTGACGGACAAAACTCAGAGGTGATTGTCACAATCACAATCACAACGCGTCACAACAAATAACTGACCAACACCTTCGCCAACATCTTACCATTACACAATCTGATAGTAACCACTAGTACGATGATGTATTCAGTAAGTGCTTTCATATCTACTCTGATATAAGACTGAAGGTGCATAGATTGTTGCTTCGTTGGACTCCATGGACGTTGACCACGACAAATGTGAAGGGGAGGGGACTCACCTAGTAAGTGTAATGCGTACTTTAGTCCATTTTTTTAACATTTGTTCATTGTAGGAACCGATGGACATTGACCACGACGAACACAAAGGGGAGGATGTCGCAAACAACACTCAACCGGTATGTAAAGATATCTATCTATCTATCCATTTCTTACATTCTTTCATTGCAGGAAAACTACATGATCGTCGATGATGATGAGGCCGGTGGGGAGGATGCGATGGAGGTGTGCGACAGTCTAACGGAGAACAGTGCTCAACCGGTATGTATCCTTCATTTTGTGCGCTCAATCTCTCAGCAACTCCGTCGCAGGAATATATGGACATTGATGATGTTGATGTAGAGATGCGCACTCACTCGGTTCGTGCATCTCTCAGCACAACTATTCGTTTCTGACGTCCTTTCATCACAGGATGACATGGATATCGACATGTGATATAGAGTGATATTCAATAGGTATGTACTTCTAGCATCCTTGGCTTCCTTGTCCGCTAATTTTTTTCCTATCACGTTCACATGTTCTAGGATTCATCGTACCGTCAGCTTGCAGTCGCCTTGTGTCTCCCTATGCTTTACCTTGTCCACTAATTTGTTTCGCACCACGTTCACATCCATTGCTATGTCAGTTTGAAGTCATTTCGTGTCTCCCTACTCACTGCCTCGTCTTCTCAAATTCTACAATATAACCACTACCGTTGTATAAATAAATCTGTCGTTTATCGTAGATATATTGCTAGGAATCTAGGACCGGATTTTGACAAACAGACGAGTGCTCCGTTCACGTTCAGATGTTGCAAGGTTTTTCACTAAGCACGAATAACCAACTGTTAGGCCAATACGCGAAGACAAACAGACAAGCGCTCCATTCATGTTCGGATGTTTCAAGGTTTTTCACTGGGTACAAATAACTAACTGTTAGGCTAATATATGAAGACAAACAGACAAGCGCTCTGTTCACGTTTGGACGTTTCAAGGTTTTTGGATCAAAAAAAAGTGCTTTTCGAGAGGGAAAAAAAGTAGAGGTCGAGAGGAACTCTTGGTGTATTGCACACTGCACTACCACCACCTGTCCAGGGTGGCCATAGTGCTCAGCCTGACCTCAATCCAACCTCAGAAATTTTGGTCCCATAAACACGGTAAATCAACCACCATTGAGCATTTTTTCCTAATCTTAATAAACGGTCGTTCAAACCTTGCTTTTACCACATGCTTATGTGTGTGAAACAATTTTCGTCCAATATCAGCATAAGGCTATGGACATTTGGGCGTGTAGTCGTATCCGGTTACTCACTTCCAGCTGTGCCAAGATCGCCTAATTATCCAGGTCCCCTGCATCATGTCATTCCCCGCTGGTATAAATGTCTCGGATTCATCATTTGGATCAGGCGTGTCTTCACCCATCACAAAGATACATCAAGTCCACCTCGCCGTGCTCCTTGGCTTTGCCACTTTTGCCACAGCTTTGCCATCACCCTCATCGCTACTCATTACAATCATCGCTCAACCAAAGATACCAAAGTGCTAATCCTTGGAGGAGGTGTTGCTGGCGTCATTGCAGCACGCACGTTACACCGCAAGGGCATTGGCGACTTCCTGATTGTCGAAGCGCGCGATGAGCTAGGTGGAAGGACACAGAATTATGCTATTGGCGTCCCTGGAAAGCAGTACAACATCGAAGCCGGTCCTAATTGGATCCAGGGAACGCAAACTGGCAGTGGGTCAGTTAGTCCCACTCTGATATTCACTCGAAAGCACCACATCAAGAACCAGTATAATAACCTTGATAGTATCAGTATGTTTACTATTCTGAGCCCCTTCAGTGACAAATTCCGTATTATACGGGCCACCCGACCTCCATAATATCCCGTATGAGACGGGCCAGCTGATCATGGGCCCATGTTGTGTATATTCTCAATGATGACGGATGGGCCGGGACACATATTATTTCCGATGGAGACGGGTGGGCCCATGTATGCCAATGATATATATATCCTTAATGTTGACGGATGGGCCGGGGGAATATGATCATTCATGGAGATGGGTGAGCCCATCTAGGTAATATGTAGAGTAGGATATTATAGACAGCTGGGCTGAAGAGAGATGTAAGGCAAATATTGTTATATAGACGGGCGGGCTGACGTGGGTGTATTACATATATGGGTGGGCCGAGGTAGGGAAATATTACATAGACAGGTGGGCTGACGTAGGGTGTATTACATATACAGGTGGGCTGACGTGGAATGTATTACATATATGGGTGGGCCGACGAAAGGGATATCAAATAGACCGGTGGGCTGAGGGTGCGATAAAATATTTATTACATAGACAGGTGGGCCGATGTAGGATGTATTATATAGACGGGTGGGCCAACATAGGATGTATTACATAGATGGGTCAGCTGACGTGGGGGATAATACATAGACGGGCGGGCCGACGCGGGTGTATTACATATATGGGTGAGCCTAGATATGTTCCATCAAGACATACAGCTGATGTAGCCACCAGCGAATCAAACACATAGGATACATGTACACTATGAGTGCATATACCTACCATCAACCACCAAATCTAAACCCCTAAGCACAAAAACATGAATCGATCATGTGTGGCATTGACCAATAATCCAGGACTGAAGTGGAAAAACCCCACACCTGAACCCTGGTGTGCAACAAATCCTATTTCTAAGCATGGACACCAGAAGCACAACACTCACAAAAATATATATGTCAAATTTTCAGTGCCAAACTCCAAACCGAGATGTACCAACCCCCGAACCCCGAAACCCGAGACTGCCGGGTCTCAGGTATCGGGTGTCCGGAACTCGGAACTTGGGAGAATTTGGGGAGATCAATACAATTTAATTTACAATTGAGTTGATTGACAACACATTGACTTACCCATGTTTGCAATATATTTTTGTTTAGACATACCAAGTTCTGAATTCTGGACACCCGAATCCCGAAACCCAAGACTGCCGGGTCTCGGATTTCAGGTGTCCGGAACTCGGAACTTGGGAAAATTTGGGGAGATCAATACAATTTGATTCACAATCAAGTTGATTGACAAACACATTGACTTAACTATGTTTGCAATATATTTTTGTTTAGACATACCGAGTTCCGAGTTCTGGACCCCTGAACCCCAAAACCCGGCAGTCTCGGGTTTCGGGGTTCGGGGGTCCAGAACTCGGAACTCAGTATGTCTAAACAAAAATATATTGCAAACATAGTTAAGTCAAGGTGTTTGTCAATCAACTTGATTGTGAATCAAATTGTATTGATCTCTCCAAATTTTCCCAAGTTCCGAGTTCCAGACACCCAACACCCGGAACTCGGCAGTCTCGGGTCTCGGGTGTCCGGAACTCGGAACTCGGTATGTCTAAACAAAAATATATTGCAAACATGATTAAGTCAATGTGTTGTCAATTAACTCGATTGTAAATTAAATTGTATTGATCTCCCCAAATTCTCCCCGAGTTCCGAGTTCCGGACACCCGATACCCGATACCCAAGACTGCCGGGTTTCGGGTGTCGGGGTTCGGGGGTTGGTACATCTCGGTTATCAGGTGTCTGGAACTCGGAACTTGGGAAAATTTGGGGAGATCAATAAAATTTGATGTACAATTGAGTTGATTGACAAACACATTGACTTACCCATGTTTGAAATATATTTTTGTTTACACATACCGAGTTCTGAGTTCTGGACCCCCCAACCCCAAAACCCGAGACCCAGCAGTCCACAATTCTGGAGTTCAGGGGTTGGTAAAATGTGTATGAATATATGAAAGGTTGAATGAAACATTTTTGAAAGATGTCTCATATCAAATGTTAAGTCCCGAGTTTTGAATTTCGGGTTTCAAGACTCCAGGTTTCGGGACTCGGCACTCCCGAAATCCGGAAGTTGAAACTCAGGATTTGACATTTGATATGAGACATCTTTCAAAAATGTTTCATTCAACCTTTCATATATTCATACACATTTTACCAACCCCCGAACCCCAGAATTGTGGACTGCCAGGTCTCGGGTTTCAGGGTTCGGAGGTCCGGAACTCGGAACTCGGAACTCAGTATGTGTAAACAAAAATATATTTCAAACATGGGTAATTCAATGTGTTTGCCAAACAACTCAATTGTAAATCAAATTTTATTGATCTCCCCAAATCTCCCCAAGTTCCGAGTGCCGGGACCCCCGAACCCCGAACCCCGAGACTGCCGGGTCTCGGGGTTCGGGGGTCCGGAACTTGGAACTCGGTATGTAGAACAAAAATATATTTTAAACATGGGTAAATCAAATTTTATTGATCTCTCCAAATTTCCCGAGTTCCGAGTTCCGGGACCCCCGAACCCCGAAACCCGGCAGTCCACAATTTCGGAGTTCAGGGGTTGGTAAAATGTGTATGGATATATGAAAGGTTGATTGAAACATTTCTGAAAGATGTCTCATATCAAATGTCAAGTCCCGAGTTTTGATTTCCGGGTTTCAGGACTCCGGGTTTTGGGACTCCAGGCTTCGGGACTCAGCACTCTTGAAACCCAGAAATCGAAACTTGGGACTTGACATTTGATATGAGACATCTTTTAAAATGTTTAAACCAACCCTTCATATATCCATACACATTTTACCAACCCCCGAACTCCGAAATTGTGGACTGCCGGGTTTCGGGGGTCCCGGAACTCGGAACTCGGAATTTGGTATGTAAGACAACAAAAATATCTTTCAGGGTTCAGGGGTTAGTGAAATGTTTATAGATATACGTAGGTTAATTCAAACATGTCTGAAAAATTTCATTCATCTCAAATGTCAAATCCTGAGTTCTGGGCTTCGGGACTCAGCACCCGGCACCCAGCAGTCAGGGTTGGGGTTTGGCACTGAAAATTTGACATTCAGGTGTTCAGGTTTCGGGTGATATCTAAATCAACAACTTCGAGTTCTGCCAAAGCGTGAAACTTGAAACCCAGTGTGCAACATGTTGATTTTTCATTTATATCACACAAATCATTGAGTTCCGAGTGCCGAGGGCTGAGACCCAAAGCCTGAGACCCGAAAATATGTACACAACATGTCCATTTTTCACTCACTGCACAAATCACCGAGTTTCGAGTGCCAAAGCGTGAAACTGGAAACCCAGTGTGCAACATGTCCATTTTTCATGTACATTACACAATTCATTGAGTTCCGAGTGCTGAGAGCCGAGACCCGAACCCCAAGACCTGAAAATATGTATGCAACATTTCCATTTTTCACTTGTTGCACAAATCACCGAGTTTCAAGTGCCGAAACCCAAAACTCGAAACCCGGTGTGCAACATGTTCATTGTTCATTTACATTACACAGATCATTGAGTGCCAAGGGCAGAATCCTAAAACCTGAAGCCCAAACACATGTATGCCACATGCCCATCTACTCATTGCACAAATCACCAAGTGTCGAGTGCCGAAACCCGAAACCCGGTACTTCAAATCAGTAGTCGGGTACTTGGTACTTGGTTCTGATACTTGGTACCTGAGAATCAGTAGTCAGGTACTTGGTACTTGGTTCTAATTCTCAGTACCTGGGAATCAATAGTTGGGTACTCCAGCCAATAGTCCCGAGTCCCGAGTACTGATACTTGGTATTTGGTAGTCAGGTTTGGAACTTGGGTCTTGGTTTGGTTATCATTTGACTGAGATATTGGTAGGCAATATTGGCACTCGGAGCTCAAATACTGACTATCAACTATCAGGGTAATCCTTTATTGTATAGTGTACCTCCCCCTCTTCTGGTGGTTCACCCGCTGGGGGTTTTTCCCTGTAAAGCTGGACCTCAAGGACTGTAAGGAGTCTATTCCTGAGCATATTCGGAGTAGATATATCATATAACCAGCACAGGACACACAGGATCCTTCTCCAGGAACAAAGCATAGACAATTGCACTTGTGACATTTTTTCACAATTTTCAGTATCTTGCCCTTGCATCCATGATCCAACCTTTTAATATATAATGAGCATAGCTTATATTCTTGCTTCTTATGACCAAGATCAGCTCACAATAGGCTGGAGTTTGTGAGCTAGTGTGCATACTTGCCATTTTGCCTGATAAGGGGCCCATGCCTTCAAAACATTGAATCTTCATAATCAGAAACCTGGGGTACATTTCAAATATCTTAAGTATCATAGACATAAATTTACAGACAAATCAACCAAGAATTGAGTACTGAGGAAGTGAAATGGGTAAGAAATTGAGTGTAGGAAACTTCAAAGACCCAAAGCATCGAAAATGGTTAGTTGAGCAGTGGTAGGACTTTAATGCTGGGTCAACTCATATTTTCACTATATCCCTTCTACCCACCCCCTACCCTCAGGGCAGTAGGCAGTATGGGTTCCTTGGGTAGTTTACAATCTATCCTACATATTTGTAATGATATTTTCGGCCTGAATCATATATAAATGTGACTTTGTATAAAAGATGTCTACTGTCACTCTCCACACATCATTTTGCCTATCATTACATCAATCCTTCATGAATATTTCTAAGCTTTTAAGCTATTATAATGGATGTATATGGGTGTTATTCCAGGTCTCTGATCACATCACAGGCTTGTCATGTTGGATATCTCGACATAATGTGCAAGTCTCGCTATTAATATTCATTCTTTATCTTTAGACTCACTTACTGCACACATGTATTTCATTTGTCATTATTAATGTTTTGGATTTCTTTAGCTTATATCTTGGTCACATGGTAACCAATGGACAAGAAAAGACTACAATAAACTCACCTAGACTCGGACTACAACCTTGATT